GTAATACATAACAGTTGTCATATGTCCACACACCTTTGAAATTGAATTAAATCAAAAGTTTCACAACTTTACATAAAAAGATGGCATTTATAACTAGAATTTCCTATTTTTAATAATGTTACCATGGTTACTGACAGCATGGGAAGCCATGTCAAAACTGGAAATAAAAATAATTCAGATTTGATGACGTTGGTGGTATTTTTCTGTGTTTACCAGTAAGTCCAGGCAGTCTCCAATAAATCATACTCAAGCCTTATATTAATAATTGATTTTAATATTACCGTATATGACGTAATAAGCGCCCAGAGCGCTCTAAAAATTAGAAATAGGGGGCTCTTATTAGAATATTATTTTGCTGGAAAAAACAGAGCTGAAAGATAAATTTCGTGGTTTCTGCTGACAGGCTGAAATGTTATGTACAATAGATCAGGGGTCCGGGAAATATAAAATCCCAATTGGACATTTGCATTTAGGTCACACCCCCTTCAAATAGCGTATTTTAGTACAATTTTTCACACACATTACAAGTTGTTACGTATTCATAATATAACCAATTATGAATTGTTTTAATCTAAATTGTTTAATTCACCGGACAATTAATAACAAATAATATCATTTTAGATATACATGGAAAACATACGTTTGTTTCTGTTATAATAACAATCTGTTAACGTAGTGAATGGTCTAATTAATATTCATGAGTCTGCTCAAGTGTACGCGTTGTAACATTTGGATCGAGACTATTATCCCATATTTGGTTATCACGTGACCTCACGGAATAAAAGTCTTTTTAAATAACTAAAGATTATTTAAAAACAAGATAGATAATATAATCACAAATACTAAAATATCTTTGATAGCAATAGTTATTTGAATACTATTTTCATCTGTTCTTAATTATTGACCATAAAAAAATTTGACTATCGATCGTCACAGAAAGCAAATTGGCGGTCAATCAAGATTCAATATACGACTAGCTACTGAAAACAATAAAATCTGCAAATCCTCATTGTATGTCAACCAAGTGAAAGTCGTTAGCCACGACTTACAAAATGATCGTCCAGACTTTGAGGGTTTGGCAGATCCGCTCGACTGATCTGCATGGGTCGACTGGCTGTCGTCACGCTTTCGCTTCTTGTCTGAGGTTATGTATCGTAGCATTGTGAGGATAATGAGGTACATCGATGATGCAAGGTATTTATGTACAGTTGTAAACACCTTTCCCTCAAATTAACAAGATGTTCTCAGTAATTAATAGTCGATTAATCAGTGTCAACTCAGTTTATTGCCTATTACAGTGATTGACCGATTGGACTAGCATGTAGGTACGATGTATTTTTACAGCAATCAAAACAAACAAAGCTTGTCAGTGTAGATTATTTTCATTGTGTTACAACTGCAGACAGAAACTGCTCAGTCCTAAATGTTGATCATGTCCGGTCAAAATTTAAGAATGTCCGGACAATACTTTTTAAAATGTCCGGACAGAAAAATTTAAATGTCCGGTAAGCAATATTTTAAACCGGACATTTGAGATTCCCAATCGGACATGTCCTGCGCAAATGACGATTTCCGGACCCCTGCAATATATATATTTTTCCAGAATTTAATTGCCCATAAATAAGGGTGCATATAACACACGAGTGCGTATTATACGCGAATAAATAAGTCTTGTATCCATTGATCAATCGGAAGGGGTGCTAATTGGGATTGTTCAATAGCAAATATATTAGCAATTATCGCCGTGGGCGCTTATTAGAGCGGGGCGCTTATTACGTCGAATACGGTATTTGCTGATATGGAGGAACAAATGAAAAGAACGGTATGCACACAGATGCCAACCTCAATTGAAGCGTTGGAGTAATCAGTGGGGTTTAAAAGCGTGATTTCAAGTGAAAAAGCGTACTGTTAAGAGAGCCATGGCATGATGCTGTTGTTTGCTTCGACCTTTTCGCAAGGCCAATATGTACGTGAACTTTAGGTACACATGCACTGACACTAGCAGTACAGCCACGCACGCAAGCTGCACTATTTTAAAAACACAGTGATGAAGCTCAAAATAAGCCTAAAAAATTACTCCGCTTGCATTTGTATGGTTAAATATGAGTAACACTTGAAATTGAATATCGCTTCATGTCATCGAAAAAGTACTAAAAAGTTCATAATGGCATGCGCCAACCTCATCAGTGACATATCGGAGATACATTTCAAACAAAAAATAACATTGAAATAAGGAAGCACTACGTTTTAGACACAGTAAAATGATATGCTGTCACGGGTTCCCAGCCTTGTCTACTAAATACGCTTTGGAAACAATGTACACAAAAACATCTCAACATTTGATTCTGACATGTGTTGAATATTGCTTAAATCACTTATGAAAGCATTTTATTCAAACTGTTGCGTGGGGGCACACCCTGGTATTTTAGCAAGGCGACAAAAAATGGTGTTAAGAAAAAGAAAATTTGTGTCGAAACACGTGGTCAAAGTTCCACACATTCCTAAGATTCATCATGTGACAATATTAATTATATTGCGGAAACACACTATAGTGTTTTGAATTCCTTAAAAGTGAGTTTTTTTATATTCACACCTCCATCGACACAATTCTTAGAAATAATTATGTCAACAATGACAACTTCACAGACATTGAAGACAACGATGTTAAATTGTTTAGCACAATAGTGCAGCACAAGCCCCGCCCACTCTATTCTCAGCCAATCAGGAAGCAGAAGTCTGCTAGTGGGCACAGCCAAAATTTGGTAGGTTTATAGAAACAAACACAAAAAGGAATTTCTTGGTTAGCCAATGAAACATCATAGAAACACCACAGAAACACCATGGAAACACCACGGAAACACCACAGAAACACCACGGAAACACCATGGAAACACCACGGAAACACCACGGAAACACCATGGAAACACCACGGAAACACATTCTCCAATATTCTTAAGTTCCTGTCACGAGTATGACATCCATTCAATTCTAAGAAATAGTTATCCACCAGAAGCGAAAAAAATTTGTTGTAAATTGAAATAGCCATTAACTCCCTTCAGCCTACATAACTCTTTGCCTAATAAACACATCAATATGAAATATATTTATAAACGTAACAACTGGGAGAAATCGAAACTTGAACAAAATTCAGCAATTCAATTAATTAAATTTCTAAAATTATGAAATATAACACCATGGTTTAAGAACAACAGGACTTTTGTGATTGAAAATGGCAAATCTGCCTAATGGTTTAAACGTGACTGCTTGTAAGGCGATCATACATAAAAAGCCCAATGAAACATACATAACACCAGAGGAACGCCAACGGATATCATGCTGATATTTCAATATTTTTTAGGTCACTGCCCAGAAGACTCAATTCACTTTAGTATTATACAGGGAATAACAGACTTCATATGCTAATGCAGGTTTTAAGCTGAGGGATAAACATGTCAGACAGCAGAACACAGGAGACGGCTTGTAAAAAAGCAAAATTTTAAAATGATCCTATAAAACAAAGAATCTTTTGGAGATGTTCAAACGCCCTGGAAGATAATTCAACTACAGGACCAATGCTTTTTGCAAATCTTTCCCCATTGAAATTTATTAAAATCATTTCATGGTCCTGTCAGTATTATTTTTTGCTGTCTGACAGATAAGCTTGCTCCATACAGGGGAAAAAGTGAGTGATTGACTATTGTTGAAAAAAGAATTTTGAGTGAGTGAGTGAGTGAGTTTGGTTTTAAGCCGCTTTTAGCAATATTCCAGCAATATCACGGCGGGGGACACCAGAAATGGGCTTCACACATTGTACCCATGTCAGGAATCCAACCCGGGTCTTCGGCGTGACGAGCGAACGCTTTAACCACTAGGCTACCCGACCGCCCAAAAAATTTTGAACTGCATGTCAGTTGGATGAGATAGGAAAGCCTGAAGTGGGCAGGTCTCACAACTTTGGTGAAACCTTCAAGCATGGGTTGGTGTTGACAAAGCTAGAAACATAATCAGTGTGAACCGGGATTCAAACCCCCTGGTCACAGGTTTCTGGCATGCCGGTAGGCAATGTTCGAAATAAGCAACTGGACGGAGGTCCGTGTCAGGTAGATCTCTTGTCTGGCCCGTCATTTGAACCTTGTGTGGGTCCTTATGGCAGGCAGTAAATTTACATGTCAATACATTTGTCACAATAAGCTGCAGTTTTTTGAATAAGTGAGTGAGTGAGTGAGTATGGTTTTACGCCGCTTTAGCAATATTCCAGCAATATTACGGTGGGGGTCACCAGAAATGGGCTTCACATATTGTACCCATGTCGGGAATCGAACCCGGGTCTTCAACGTGATGAGCGAACGCTTTAACCACTAGGCTACCCGCCCGCCCCCTTTTTAAATAAGAGCCTGAAGAGTTTAGTCAGGGCCTGAGCTTCTAAAGACTGAGGGACCTGACGGCAGACTGGTATTTTTCAGTTCAAACACTGCCCAAGGGACACAACTCTGCACAGCAAATTATGGTGCCTAAGATGACTTTGCCGCCTTAGACTAGCATCTAGCCTCTGAAATGAATATATGTTACAGAAAAATAAAGTAGTTAAATTGTCTTAATAAAATGTAATAAAAAGGAGTCAGAAACTGTCTTCATTTCCTGATACTGCAGTAATATAGACTTGCCCACTATTATAGACTTGCAAGGGCTGTATTGGATATATTTGTTTCAGGGTCTGCAGAACAGACAAGGGCCACCTGTGCCCCACGGCCAATTAAAACATGAAACAGGTATCACAAACTGTGTAGGAAGACAGACCCAGACATGACGGCAACAATAACTTACGTATTAGATCTACATTCACATTTTACAAAAGGTGCATGTATTTGGTAACAGTAATGTGATCCGAAGCAGGGCGTTTGCTTGTGAGGCAGACTGGGTCAAAAATCTAATAACGAATATATTTTGGCATGTCTGTTGGCTACCCTGAAATAAGCAAGGAATTCGAAGCATTGACCTACCTGTACATTAAAGGCAGCTGGCCATGTCAAACACGTACGTGCACTGAAAACCACTTGAGCACCCAGTGAATTTTGTCTCTCACCTGTTGCAAGGAAAACAGTGTTAAACAGCTGTTTAATGATCGCCGATATGAAGCACATCACATCACATAACAATCAATAACTAAATTTGATCAATATTGTTTAACACAAAAAATAATTGAATACAGGAATTCCCATGTGACAGGTCACTGCACAGCTGGTACATTGCACACGTACATTGCAGATGATCAAATTGGCTTGCGTGAGTGAGTGAGTTGGGTTTAACGCCGCTTTTAACAGTATTCCAGTCATATCATGGCGTGTCAGCTTAATGTGGGAGGAAAGCCCGAAGTGATGCAGGTCTCAGACGTTTACCACTTCGGTGAAACCCGCGAGCAGGGGTATGGTGCTGACAAACCTAGAAACATAATTCGGGCAAACCGGGATTTGAACCCACAAAAATTGGTTTCTGGCGTGCCCAAGGGACACAACTCTTCACAGCGAATCACGGCGCCTTAGATGACTGGGTCACCCGTGCCCCCCAAATTGGCTTGAATGACAGGAATCAAATGTACTGGACCAACAAACTGACCTGTGTCCAGTTTTCCTTTAAGGGGGAGGTTGGGTAGCCTAGTGGTTAAAGCATTTGCTCGTCACACCAAAGACCTGTGTTTGCTTCCCCACAAGAGTACAATGTGTGAAGGCACTTTCTGGTGTCCCCGCCGTGATATTGCTGGAATATTGTTAAAAACGGTCCCTCCCTTAATGAGTATTATACAAAAAGACCAAGGTGAAACACATGAAGATGGTCATGATCCTGACAAACCTAGAAACATAATCACAGACGATCAGGGATACAAACTCATTATGATAGGATCCTGGCAAAACAAAGGGATGCTACTCTGCACAGAAGCCAGAAGAGTGACTAGGCAAAAAAAGTTCTTTAACTTGTTTTCAATTCATCTCAGTAACAAATATTGCTGTGCTTGCTTTAAATCACTCAAGAACCACAACATTATATCTTGTAACCTTAATGAAGAAAGATTAGCAACCCAACCCACTTTCCAACCCCCCAGTAGTCACACACACCCAGAAGTCTCATTTGTGACCAACTCTTGTTATAACGGGACAAGCCGAATAGCAACTCGTGCCCCTCTCGTGGCCATTTTTGCAACCGGGTTCCGTCTTAGCGCAAACGGGCATAACGAAAACAATTGTCAACTCGTTGCGTAATGGTTCACATATTTTCCCAATATATCATATATATTTCAGATGCAATTTAAAGCACATCAGGATGTGCAGAATTATACAGTATGATTGAACACATATAACTGTGTCTTTGGTATATTTTTAGATGCAAGACATATGTAAAATCAAAAATTATTTCAGAGGGATTCTTTTACGAAGAACTTGAAATCATATGCGCATTCTGATTGGTTACACACACACACACACACACACACACTCACACACACTCACACACACACACACACACAAGTCACACACACAAGTCTCTCTCACACACACACACACACATAAGTCTCTCTCTCTCACACACACACACACACACACACACACACACACACACACACACACACACACACACACACACACACACACACACACACACACACACACACACACTACCCACTTTCTAACCACTATTAACAGCTCTTTAAACCTGTCCGATTCTCCAAACAGCACCAACTGCCCAAACCCCTACCATTCTCAACTCATCCAATCTATCTATCTGTCAAAGTCATCAAAATCCGCTCCCTCACCAAAGTCCCTGCTGTTCTCCAAAACACAAAGACTACAATTCTCTAAATAACATTAATCTCCTACATTCATTTCCTGTTCAATTCTCCCTTATTTTCATAAACTCCCTGAAGTCTCTTCTACTCCCTTACCACTCAAAACACCTCAAACAATAATTCTAGCCATCTCAGCTTTCCAATGCCGACCAAACCATCTATCCTTTGTTCCGATTTAATCGTTCTTGCAACTGTGTTTCAACTTCTTTACCAGCTCTCACATCTTTAAACTCCATCGAAGTCCGGACCTTAATCCCGAATCTCTGATGATCAACCTCTCTGAATCCTTGGCCTTATCAATGTCCCTCCTCATCCCTCATCTCTTTCTTTTTAAATCTACGTCTTTCTTTCAACCCTCACACATCTACTAACCCCTCATAGCCATACAACTTCCCACATGTCATGTCTGAAACCTCTTTTCATTACTTGAGTACCCATCCAAACCTTTCCTCCACTCCATCAATGCCCATCTTCTCAAGGCTCCATCCCTTCAATCCCTTATCTCCAGCGACTCGAAGACTGACCCGTGAAGATTCCGGTGTAGAATAGGTCTTCAGCAAACCATGCTTGCAGTAAAAGGTGACTATGCTTGTCCTAAAAGGCGACTAACGGGATCGGGTGGTCAGGCTCGCTGACTTGGTTGATGCATGTCATCGATCCCAATTGCGTGGGTCGATGCTCATGATATCAATCACTGGATTGTCTGGTCCAGACTCGATTATTTACAGACTGCCGTCATATAGCTGGAATATTGCTGAGTGCGGCGTTAAACAACCAACCAACCAACCAACAAACCTTATCTCCACCCCATCAATACCCACCCTCTCCATTGTACCCACCACACCCACGCAAACACTCGTCCATCACACCCTCACTATCACCACCTCCACCTCCCTCTCAATTCCCACTCCTCAATCCAGCCCCCATCAATTCCACAATCCCACCCCTCCATTTCCACTGAGGATGCCACGATTCACCAACATATCGCTGCATCTATGACATTCTCAGACGATACGATATGTGACACACATTCAGCTGTGTCTGTTCGTATTTTAATTATGTATTAAATCATATTTTAATCCTGTATCATTTCACACATGGATTGAAATGAGACATAAATATTTTGAAATATGAGACAAGATATTCAGGAAGTTTCAAGCCTTTTTAAAAGTGTTTATTCCCTTTGAAATATAAGAATTGACCCAAAATTGCAGCAAATTATGTATCGCAATTCGTACCGCCCACCCCAACATCCCTTTCCCTCAATCCCAGCAATTTGAATCAGTCCGTATAGTCCGTTACAACAATAGCACTTCGATCTCCCTTCAGGCTGCAGCATCAAATGCATTGTTCTGCATCAACAGTATGTCCCTTGCTGCAAACAGCCAAACCAGCCAGCATATCTCACCGAGGTAAAATGTCTGTTTCCCTATCAGCCGTTTTATGGGACAATTGTTGTGTGAGTTACGAGCTCCACACTCGCCATAGTGGAGGTGGTAATGGAGATAGGATGTAGGCTCGGACTCCCATCTAGCCTCAACAGACTTCCTTTCATTTCTCATCATGATAAACCAAATTGTTTCCCAAGTCACTAATCGCCTCCACAAACATTATCAAAATTACTTCCCATTTGCAAGTTGTCATGAGAATATTTCCTCAAGAGGAATGCATAAAAAATCAAATAAAAACTGGAGGGAAAGTGTAATCGTAACCATGGTAACCAATGAAGTAAATTTAACGCAATTCCTGCATTGTGTCTATAATTTCACAATTTTGCCTTACATTATATTTTGCTTGGATTACAGATTCGCTGACCTTAAAAATTGAAGATTTTAAAATTGTTTTTCACCTACAGATCCAAATAAAACTTTAAGATGATTAAAAGAATGTGTTTAACTCCCAAAAACCCCAAAAAACCCCAAAACCCAAGGAGAGACAAGCACGGGGCACTGGGAAACTATTCCGATCTCTGGAATCCCCACATTGAGACAAGCATGGGGAACTGGTGGCCTACTCTGCCCTGGAATCTCCACATTGAGACAAGCATGGGGAACTGGTGGCCTACTCTGCCCTGGAATCTCAACATGGAGACAATCATGGGGAACTGGGAACCTTTTCTGATCTGGAATCGGCACAGGGAGGCAAGCATGGGGTACAGGGGACCTACTCTGCCCTGGAATCTCCACAGAGACAAGCATGGGGAACTGGGAACCTTTTCTGGTCTGGAATCGGCACAGGGAGGCAAGCATGGGGTACAGGGGACCTACTCTGCCCTGGAATCTCCACAGAGACAAGCATGGGGAACTGGGAACCTTTTCTGATCTGGAATCGGCACAGGGAGACAAGCATGGGGTACAGGGGACCTACTCTGCCCTGGAATCTCCACAGAGACAAGCATGGGGAACTGGGAACCTTTTCTGATCTGGAATCGGCACAGGGAGACAAGCATGGGGTACAGGGGACCTACTCTGCCCTGGAATCTCAACATGGAGACAAGCATGGGGAACTGGGAACCTTTTCTGATCTGGAATCGGCACAGGGAGACAAGCATGGGGAACTGGTGTCCTACTCTGCCATGGAATCTCGAAATGGAGGCAAGCATGAGGTACTGGTAACCTTTCAGAAATAGATTTCACCTATCCTGATAGAAATGTTACCATACACGGGCTATTTGCAGGCAGGTTTAGGCCCACATACTGTTCCACATAGATTGACTGAAAAATGAGCCACAAAGGCTTGTGTTCAATTCGTCACATGTGTAAATATGTGATGCCCATTTCTGGTGTCCCCTGCTGTGATATAGCTGGAATACTGCTGAAAGCAGCGTAAAACCATATGCACACACAGAAAATTAACACGGTACACTTATACAAAGCTGTCTTAGTGCTACGATGATCGTAACTCCCATCCTCAAACTTCTCCCACAGACTTACGATGGTCGTAGCGCTCTGATATTTTGTGCTAGTGGGCCAATGATGATGATCATAACTCTCATCCTCTATGACATACAATTACAATAGTCAGGGCGCTAAGATGTTTCGTGCTAGTGGGCCTAGGGTACACTTAAACAAAGCAACTGTAACGCTACGACGATCATAACTCTCATCCTCTATGGCATACAATTACAATAGTCGTGGTGCTAAGATGTTTCGTGCTAGTGGGCCTAGGGTACACTTAAACAAAGCAACTGTAACGCTACGACGATCATAACTCTCATCCTCTATGGCATACAATTACAATAGTCGTGG